GGCTGAGGGAACTGGGATTGTTTAGTCTGCGGAAGAGAAGAATGAGGGGGGGATTTGATAGCTGCTTTTAACTACCTGAAAGGTGGATCCAAAGAGGACGGATCTAGACTGTTCTCAGTGATAGCAGATGACAGAACAAGGAGTAATGGCAAAAAGAAAAGGAGGACTTGTGGCACCTTAGAGACTAACCAATTTATTTGAGCATAAGCTTTCGTGAGCTACAGCTCACTTCATCGGATGCATACTGTGGAAAGTGTAGAAGATCTTTTTATATACACACAAAGCATGAAAAAATACCTCCTCCCACCCCACTCTCCTGCTGGTAATAGCTTATCTAAAGTGATCACTCTCCTTACAATGTGTATGATATGAACGTTATAATTCTTGACATCTGGTTTATGAACGTTATAATTCTTGACATCTGATTTGTGTCCATTTATTCTTTTACGTAGAGACTGTCCAGTTTGACCAATGTACATGGCAGAGGGGTAACAAAGCCCGTTGCCAACTGTGCCCACATATCTATTCAGGGGACACCATCACAGGACCTAATCACATCAGCCACACGATCAGAGGCTCGTTCACCTGCACATCCACCAATGTGATATATGCCATCATGTGCCAGCAATGCCCCTCTGCCATGTACATTGGTCAAACTGGACAGTCTCTATGTAAAAGAATAAATGCACACAAATCTGACATCAGGAATCATAACATTCAAAAACCAGTCGGAGAATACTTCAATCTCTTTGGTCACTCGATTACAGACATGAAAGTTATGATATTACAACAAAAAAACTTCAAATCCAGACTCCAGCGAGAAACTGTTGAATTGGAATTCATTTGCAAATTGGATACAATTAACTTAGGCTTGAATAGAGACTGGGAGTGGCTAAGTCATTATGCAAGGTAACCTATTTCCCCTTGTTTTTTCCTACTCCCCCCCCCCCCCCAACTCCTCAGACGTTCTTGTTAAACCCTGGATTTGTGCTGGAAATGGCCCACCTTGATTATCATACACATTGTAAGGAGAGTGGTCACTTTAGATAAGCTATTACCAGCAGGAGAGTGGGATGGGGGGAGGTATTTTTTCATGATTTGTGTGTATAAAAAGATCTTCTACACTTTCCACAGTATGCATCCGATGAAGTGAGCTGTAGCTCACGAAAGCTGATGCTCAAATAAATTGGTTAGTCTCTAAGGTGCCACAAGTCCTCCTTTTCTTTTTGTGAATACAGACTAACACGGCTGTTACTCTGAAACAAGGAGTAATGGTTTCAAGTTGCAGTGTAGGAGGTCTAGGGTGGATATTAGGAAACACTGTTTCACGAGGAGGGTGGTGAAGCACTGGAATGCGTCACCTAGGGAGGTGGTGGAATCCCCTTCCTTAGAGGTTTTTAAAGCCCGGCTTGACAATGCCCTGGCTGGGATGATTTAGTTGGGGTTGGTCCTGCTTGGAGCAGGGGGTTGGACTGGATACCTCCTGAGGTCCCTTCCAGCCCTGATATTCTATGATTCTATGACTGGTCCCAGAACAGACCCCTGGGGGACACCACTATTTATCTCTCCATTCTGAAAACTGACCATTTATTCCTACCCTTTGTTTCCTGTCTCTTATCTGGAGTGTCTGGCAATGTTTTCAGGATCATCTCAGGATCCTTAATTTAATTTAATGCCAAGCCTTTTGTTATCTTAATCACCCTGCCTCTGTGTATAAACAAACTCCCTGCCGCAGTTGTGTTCCCATAACCCGGCCTGCTTTCAAATCCCAGCTGTGACTTCCTGCCCCACCCACGGCCTCCTCTCCGCTTCCCATCTCCCCTGCCCACCGAGGCAAAGGGGGTAAAGCAGAGAGGCTGCAAAGGGCCACTGGAAGTGCCAGGCACTGCACTGTCCCGACGGGCGACTGGCAGTAGCTGCCGCTGGGTTTATGCTGGGGGGGGGGGGTGTCTCTGCAGTTAGAGCCCTCAGCCGCCAACCATCCTGCAGCACTGCATAAAAGAGGCTCAGTCGCGTCCTCAGCATTTTAAATACGGGGAAACTGAGGCACAAAGGGGCGACTTGTGCAGGGGCAGATGATAAAAGAATCAGGAACAGAACCCAGATGTCCTGACCCCCACCTCAGTGGCTGCTCACGCTGCCTCCTGGCCAGGCTGTTTGGGCGGGCAGGGGTTGGCTTGCAGCCAGCATTCCTCCTGGGCCCCACCCCAAACACATGGGGGCCGGGCCCTGGTACAGCCACGTGCCTCACTGAGCCCTAGGAACCTGCCCAGCATCACGCAGGGGTCAGAGGCCGTCGCCACAGTCAGGAGAGACCAGGCTGGAGGGCTGGGCTCGGACCTGAGGCACCCAACCCCCAGCACCCTACTGCAAACAGGGCTCCTCCCTGCCCCACAGCTGCCCCTGCCAGCGCCGGGGCTACGGGACCGGGGCTCCGGCAAGCATGGCTCTGCGCTGGCGGCCAGGCCCGCTAGCGGCATGTGCTGGTGCGGGGTTGAGGAAGGTGCCAAATGCCCCTTCCCCCAGGGGCTTCTCCTCTCCCGGAGCGCAGCGGGGCTCCCACATGTCCACGTGCCCCTTGCCACGGTCAGTCCCCAGCCCAGCCTGCCCGGGGTCCCTGGCACCGCTCAGCCAGGCCTCCTGCCCTGCTCCTGGGGTCCCTCGCCCTCTTCACCCCAGGCAGGGGCTCTATCCCAGGGACCCTACAGACAGTGGCTGAGCTTGCCCTGCCTGAGCACCCCCCACGGGTGTGTCACACCCTGCCACACTCCCCCCATCCTCCCATGGGTGTGTCACACTCTGACCCCTGCTCCCCATGGGTGTGTCATACCCTGCCACACTCCCCCCACCTCCCATGGGTGTGTCACACTCTGACCCCCTGCTCCCCATGGGTGTGTCACACCCTGCCACACTCCCCCCATCCTCCCATGGGTGTGTCACACTCTGACCCCCTGCTCCCCATGGGTGTGTCACACCCTGCCACACTCCCCCCATCCTCCCATGGGTGTGTCACACTCTGACCCCTGCTCCCCATGGGTGTGTCATACCCTGCCACACTCTCCCAACCTCCCATGGGAGTGTCACACTCTGACCCCCTGCTCCCTATGGGTGTGTCATACCCTGCCACACTCCCCCCATCCTCCCATGGGTGTGTCACACTCTGACCCCCTGCTCCCTATGGGTGTGTCATACCCTGCCACACTGCCCCCATCCTCCCATGGGTGTGTCACACTCTGACCCCCTGCTCCCTATGGGTGTGTCACACCCTGCCACACTGCCCCCCATTTCCCATGGGTGTGTCACACCCTGCCACACTCCCCCCATCCTCCCATGGGTGTGTCACACTCTGACCCCCTGCTCCCCATGGGTGTGTCATACCCTGCCACACTCCCCCCATCCTCCATGGGTGTGTCACACTCTGACCCCCTGCTCCCTATGGGTGTGTCACACCCTGCCACTCTGCCCCCTGCTCCCCACTGGTGTGTCACACCCTGCCACACTCCCCCCATCCTCCCATGGGTGTGTCACACTCTGACCCCCTGCTCCCTATGGGTGTGTCACACCCTGCCACACTCCCCCATCCTCCCATGGGTGTGTCACACTCTGACCCCCTGCTCCCTATGGGTGTGTCACACCCTGCCACACTCCCCCCATCCTCCCATGGGTGTGTCACACTCTGACCCCCTGCTCCCTATGGGTGTGTCACACCCTGCCACACTGCCCCCCATTCCCCACGGGTGTGTCATACCCTGCCACAGTCCCCCAACTTCCCATGGGTGTGTCACACTCTGACCCCCTGCTCCCCACAGGTGTGTCACACCCTGCCACGCTGCCCCTACCTCCCATGGGTGTGTCACACTCTGGCCTCCTGCTCCCCACGGGTGTGTCAATGAGTCCCCATCCTGCTCCCCACATGTGTGTAAAACACTGCCCCCCATTCCCTGTGGGTATGTCACACCATGCCACCCGGCTGCCCCCACAGGTGTAACAGGTGGCTGCGGGTCAGGAGTGAGGGGCACCGGCAGGGTTGGGGGGGCAGGGCTGGGGTAAAGGGGGGATGCAGGTCGGGAGTGAGGGCACCGGCAGGGCTGGGGTAAAGGGGGCTGCGGGTCGGGAGTGAGGGGGTACTGGCAGGGCTGGGGGCCAGGGCTGGGGTACAAGGGGGCTGTGGGTCGGGAGTGAGGGGCACCGGCAGGGCTGGGGCACAAGGGGGCTGCGGGTCGGGAGTGAGGGGCACTGGCAGGGCTGGGGTAAAGGGGGCTGCGGGTCGGGAGTGAGGGGGGTACTGGCAGGGCTGGGGGGCAGGGCTGGGGCACAAGGGGGCTGCAGGTCGGGAGTGAGGGGCACCGGCAGGGCTGGGGTAAAGGGGGCTGCGGGTCGGGAGTGAGGGGGTACTGGCAGGGCTGGGGGGCAGGGCTGGGGCACAAGGGGGCTGCAGGTCGGGAGTGAGGGGTACTGGCAGGGCTGGGGGGCAGGGCTGGGGCACAAGGGGGCTGCAGGTCAGGAGTGAGGGGCACCAGCAGGGCTGGGGGGCAGGGCTGGGGCACAAGGGGGCTGCAGGTCGGGAGTGAGGGGCACCGGCAGAGCTGGGGGGCAGGGCTGGGGCACAAGGGGGCTGCAGGTCGGGAGTGAGGGGCACCGGCAGGGCTGGGGGGCAGGGCTGGGGCACAAGGGGGCTGCAGGTCGGGAGTGAGGGGCACCGGCAGGGCTGGGGGGCAGGGCTGGGGCACAAGGGGGCTGCAGGTCGGGAGTGAGGGGCACCGGCAGAGCTGGGGGGCAGGGCTGGGGCACAAGGGGGCTGCAGGTCGGGAGTGAGGGGCACCGGCAGAGCTGGGGGGGGCGGGAGGCTCCTGCAGTTCAGGTGTCTCCTCCCATCACTTCCCAGCCCCGCCGCTGCCGGGGGATCCCGGCTGGGCCCCCCCCGGAGCCGCCCCCGCCTCGCAGGGCGCCCCCGCCAGGGCGGGGCCCGGGGCGTCTCCGCGCCGCCTCAAGACGGGCCGGGCCCCTCCCGCGCCGGCCGGGAGCGCTGCGGAGCCGCGAGCCCGGAGCGGGGCCAGACACTGCGGAGCCGAGCCGGACCGGACCGGACCGGACCCTGCCGGAGCCAGGTGAGGGGGCGGGTCCGTGCGGGGCGGGGGGCTCCTGGCCTGGGCCGCGCTGCCCCGGCTCGATCCTGCGGGTCGAGGCACCGCTCGGCTCCGCACAGAGCTACACACATCGCCCCCCCGCACACACACATCGCCCCCCCCGCACACACACACATCGCCCCCCCGCACACACACACATCGCCCCCCCGCACACACACACATCGCCCCCCGCACACACACACATCGCCCCCCCCGCAGACACACACATCGCCCCCCCCGCAGAAACACACATCGCCCCCCCGCACACACACACACATCGCCCCCCCCGCACACACACACGTCGCCCCCCCGCACACACACACATCGCCCCCCGCAGACACACACGTCGCCCCCCGCACACACACACATCGCCCCCCCGCACACACACACACATCGCCCCCCGCACACACACACGTCGCCCCCCCGCACACACACACGTCGCCCCCCCGCAGACACACACACATGGCCCCCCCCGCAGACACACACACATGGCCCCCCCCGCAGACACACACATGCCCCCCCCCCGCACACACACACATGCACCATCTGGCTCCCGCTCCCCACTGTGGGGGGCTCCCAGGGAGGGACGTCGGGGGTCGGAGGTTTCACTGCCTCACCCTGTTCCCCCCCCCCCCGCCCCAGGCCAGAGCACTGTCCCTCCCAGCCCTGCGGGAGGGGCCTGGCCCCATGGGTGCCCCCGGGGTATTGGCCACCCAGGCTGTGTAAACCCCTTCCGGCTGCCATCAGACACTGTCCAGCTGTCTGTCTGTCTGTCTGTTGGGAGCTGGGGGCGGGGGGGGTCTGTCTGTCTGTCTGTCCCCTGGGGGTCCAGAGCCCCTGCCCACCCCAGCCCATTGCAGGTCGCTGGGCTCCCTCCTGGCACAGCGCCCAAGGGAGGATGCCACATGACAGCAGCGTGGAGCCGACTTGCCCACCCTGGTGGGGGCTCTCCTGGCCCTATCGGGGGCTCTGCCCCCCCCCCCCATGAATGGATCTGGGCATCTCCCTTCCAGCAATCCCCTAAATCAGCCCCCTGTGGTGCCCGCTAGGCTTCCCCGCCCTGCCCTGCTGGGACCTCGCCTCCAGCCCGCCGGCGCCCTGTTCCCCTCTACCTCCCACTCGCCCTCGGCACCCCTGCAGGAGGGCCCCTGGTGCCACCCGTGTGGCTGGGGCATGCGGGGGGCGCTGGGATAGGTGATGGGGTGGGCTCTGCTCGGGCACCTGGGAGCAGGGGGCCTCAGGCATCCGGGGCAGTACGCTTGGCAGGGCCACGCGCGGATGCTGAGCTGCTAGGATTCCCGGGGGCATCAGACTTGGCTCCGGGGGGCACTGGGAGCGGCTTGGGCACATGGGGCAGGGGACCTGGGGGCGGCTCGGGTATGTGGGGGCTGCCGGGCGTGGCTTGGACCTGCGGGGAGGGGCTGGGCATGGGTCGGGCACATGGCGGCCTGGCGGCGAGCCGGGGCCCGCATGGTGCGCTGCCCTCGTGCTGCCCTCCCCAGCTCTTGCTCCCTGTCTTGGCCCAGGCTGGGGACGCTGTGAGCAGAGTGTCCTGCCCCCGGCGCAGCCGCTGCCCGCCGGCCAGGAGCAGAGGATGGAGGAGCTGCTGAAGCTCACGTACCTGAATGTCTCGGAGCGGCTGAGCCTGCCCTGGGAGCAGGGCGGGCCGTGCGGCCCCTCGGTGGGGAACAGCACCGTCCTGGTGGTGGCCTACAGCGCCCTGCTGGCCGTGGGGCTGGTGGGGAACCTGTGCCTCCTCTGCGTCGTCGCCCGGCACAAGGAGATGAGGAACGTCACCAGCATCTTCATTGCCAACCTGGCCTGCTCCGACCTGCTGATGAGCATGGTGTGCCTGCCCGTCACCGTCATCTACACCCTCATGGACCGCTGGGTGCTGGGCGAGCTCCTATGCAAGGCCAGCCCCTTCGCGCAGTGCGTCTCCGTCACCGTCTCCATCCTCTCGCTGGCCTGGATCGCCCTGGAGCGGCACCAGCTCATCGTCAACCCCACCGGCTGGAAGCCGGGGGCCACCCACGCCTACCTGGCCGTGAGCGTCACCTGGCTGGTGTCGGGCTGCGTCTCCCTGCCCTTCCTCGCCTTCAGCGTCCTGACGGACGAGCCCTTCCGCAACCTCAGCCTGCCCTTCGACGCCTTCGCCGGCCACCTGGTGTGCGTGGAGAAGTGGCCGTCGGACGGGCACCGCCTGGCCTACACCACCGGGCTGCTGTTCGGCCAGTACTGCCTGCCCCTGCTGCTCATCCTGGCCTGCTACGGCCGCATCTTCCTGCGGCTGCGTCGCCGGCGGGACATCCTGGAGCGGCCCACGCAGGGGCCCCGGGCCGCCAGCCACCGGCGGGTCAGCGTCCTGCTGGCCTGCCTCGTCGCCGCCTTCGCCGTGTGCTGGCTGCCCCTGACCGTCTTCAACGCCCTGTACGACTGGGCCCCCGAGGCCATCTCCGGCTGCCACCACGACCTGCTCTTCTCCCTCTGCCATCTGGCGGCCATGGCCTCCACCTGCATCAACCCCGTCCTCTATGGCTTCCTGAACACCAACTTCCAGCAGGAGCTCAAAGCCTTGCTCCACCGCTGCAGCTGCGCTGGGGAGACGGACACGTACGAGAGCGTCCCCCTGTCCACCGTCAGCACCGAGGTCTCCAAGGCCTCGCTGCGCAGCGGGGGGGTCGCCACCGACGCCTGACAGGGGGCTTCCCCCAGCGCCTGGTGCCAGGAGCAGAGCCCGCCGTAGCCTTGCCCGGCGGGCGGGGGGATGCTGCTGTGCTGTAGGCACTCTCTGCCTGTCTAGGGCAGCCCCCCGCCCCTCCCTCGGGCACAGCTCAGATCCAGAGGGAGCCTGGGAGTGAGCTCTGGGGAATCCCACAGAAACTGACCACGGGAAGTCCTGGGCTCTGTTCCCTGCGGAGCCACTTACTCAGTCTCCAATTTTCAGCCTGGTGATTCTCCGAGTGGCCTGAGGCACCCCAGGGATGCAGGAGCAGTGGGTGTCTGACTGCCCCAGATGGCCCAGTGCTGGTGCCTTGGCCCAGCTCCATAGATGGGTCCCGGCTGGGTTTGCCAAAGGGCTGGGCTGCAGGGGCTCAGCACCTGTGGAAATCGGGCGCTGAACTCTGGAGTGAGGTGCCGAATGTGCGGCTTTCAGCCTAGAGGCTTTTGGCCTTCATCCCTCTGTCGCCGTTTCCCCAGCATTCAGATAGGGCTGTTAACACTTCGCGGTCGCACAGCTCGGGAGGGGCATGGCGGGCTGAGCGGCGCTGTCATAGGGTTAAGCATCGTTACCACATCGGAAATGTCCCTGCTTGGGTCCTTTTACCAAGTACTGGATTAGCTAGTTTTCAAAGGGGGACACCCCCCCCATGCGCAGATGGTGGGTGCATTGCCAGGCTGGGCGATTCAATGTGCAGTCGGGGGTTAGATCTGCAGCTACTGGAGGCAAACACAAATTATTCCAGGTGCATTTAAAGAACATCTCGAATCTGTCTCTTGTGTCCTAGGCATTCCTGCCAGGCTCATTGCTTGCCGTGGTCTCCGAGCACAGTCACTCCTAACTACCCAGCAGCACATGAGAACAGCTGACTCGTGCAAGAAAATCGCCATTTTCATGTGTAACTGGGGCATTAGCACCTAGTTTGAGACCTGCGAAAATTCTTCTGTTTGCCAAACAATACACAGTGCCCTTGATTTCAGAGATTTTTGATGATCTCCTAAAACTCCCAAATGCCTGATTTAAAAAAAAAGAAAAAACAAGAAACTGACATTCCTTTCACTCACTCTTTGGTATTTTGAAGTGAAAAAAGAAGCAATCGGGCTGGGCTGTTAAAGGGGCGCTGTGGAGAGATGGTTCACTGGTTTTCTAAAAGCAAAATCCCCTTCTCTGTGACTCTGGTAACACCTTAGATTATTCAACCTGAAAAAGAATTCCGAGATCTAATTTACTTTTCACAGCTGAGTTTTGTGCTTCGTTCTCCTTTCAGTCACTTGCCTTTACCCAGTGACTGCGGAGTGATATTCCTGATCTCCACTTCCTGACGTTGGTGGAAAATCGCTCCCCCTTAGTGTATTGCCTGTGAGCTCACTCAGTCACTTGCATAGTCGGTATCTGTCCAGAATCGCTTTCCGGGGCTCAGAGGTTGCAGTTTTTGGGGCTAACAGGACAGAGGGACCCGGCCAGTCCAAAGCTGTTCTTCTGGACACTTGTGAATCTTTTTGAGTTTGCTTGATCCAATCCCGGGGGCTTAGCTAATGGGTTCATTTTACCCAGTGATGAGCTGCCAAAATCTTAACAACTGGTTCCCTCCTCATCCTACGAGGGGGTTGTGGCCCACCCCCGCTCCCCGGGGCTTCTGCCACATCCAACCCCGGGCATTCCTTGATGCCCCCCCCAGAACCCCTGCCCCATCCACCCCCCTCCCCTGACTGCCCCCCAGAACCGGGCAGGAGGGTCTCGTGGGCCACCGTAGTGGGTGCCCACACTGCCCCTAAGAGCCAGAGGGACCTGCCGGGGGGGCGAGGTGGGGAGTCCCGGCGGTGCTTACCTGGGGCAGCTCCCAGGAAGCATCCAGCAGGTCCCTCTGGCTCCTAGGGGCGGGGGAGCGTAGCTGGGGGGGAGCAGGGGGAGCGGCCGCTCCCCCCACTGATCAATTCAAAAGTGGCACCTTAGGCGCCGACTCCCGGGGTGCTCTGGGGCTGGAGCCCCCACGGGGAAAATTTGGTGGGTGCAGAGCCCCCCCCCGGCAGCTCCCCACCCTGCGCCCGGCGCCAGCTCACCTCCGCTCCGCCTGCTCCCCTGAACGCGCCACCCCGCTTGGCTTCTCCCCCCCCCCCCCGGGGCCGGGGGTGGGGCGGGGAGCTGCCGGTGGGGGCTCTGCACCCACCAAATTTTCCCTGTGGGGGCTCCAGGGCTGGAGCACCCCTGGAGTCGGCGCCTAAGATGCCAGTTTTGGCCGGTTAAATTTAGAAGCCCTCGCGGGACAACCGGTTCTAAAAGGGCTTCTACATTTAACAACCGGTTCTAGCGAACTGGCTCCGGCTCTCCACGGCTTTCACCCTGATCTCGCCTACTCATCGTATTCTGTGCCCGTCTCTTGACGCAGTGCTGAACATCGGCTCCCAGCGCGTGGGGCCTGGGGATATTTTGCCCAACAGTCGATGTTTGTAACCAATTTATAAATATGTATCTTATCGAAATGCACAGACTGCTGCGGCTTTTCTAAGGGGATAATTCTTTGTAATAATCAAGAATAAACTGAACAAGCTGACGAAATGTGAGTAGCTCCCTTTAGCGAACACTCACGGTGTGTCGGCTCTCCACAAACGGCCGTGGTGTCAACACGAAAATCACCAGCTCTGGGACTTATCCCTGCAGGTGTTATCCAGGCTGTCACGCCGGTTATTGGCAGAGCGTTGTTGTTATACTCCTCGTTTGCCGTGAGGTAGCACCGCCCGTCGTGTGTTGGTGAGGCTGAGAGCCAGTTCATAGAATCACAGACTATCAGGGCTGGAAGGGACCTCAGGAGGTATCTAGTCCCACCCCCTGCTCAAAGCAGGACCAAGCCCCAGTTAAATCATCCCAGCCAGAGCTTTGTCAAGCCTGACCTTAAAAACCTCTAAGGAAGGAGATTCCACCACCTCCCTAGGTAACGCATTCCAGTGCTTCACCACCCTCCTAGTGCAAAAGTTTTTCCTAACATCCAACCTAAACCTCCCCCACTGCAACTTGAGACCATTAGTCCTCGTTCTGTCATCTGCTACCATTGAGAACAGCCTAGATCCATCCTCTTTGGAACCCCCTTTCAGGTAGTTGAAAGCAGCTATCAAATCCCCTCATTCTTCTCTTCCGCAGACTAAACGATCCCAGTTCCCTCAGCCTCTCCTCGTAAGTCATGTGTTCCAGTCCCCTCATCATTTTTGTTGCCCTCCGCTGGACGCGCTCCAATTTTTCCACATCCTTCTTGTAGTGTGGGGCCCAAAACTGGACACAGTACTCCAGATGAGGCCTCACCAGTGCCAAGTAGAGGGTTCAGTTTAGAATAGAGAGTTCGGTTCTGGTGTCCAGTTTAGAAAGAGTGAGAAGGGGTGAGAGGGCTGAGCAGAGCCACCAGGTTATCTGAAGGCTGGAAAAGACCTTCTGGTAAGAGACGCGAGGCGCTCAGTCTGGTTAGCTGCTCAGAAGGAAGAGTGAGGTGGGCCTGGGTGGGGCGTATGAAAACCCACCAGGGGAGGACGCTGGGTTTCCAAAGGCTCTTCGAGCAGAGGAAGGCAGAGCAAGCACCAAGCTAGACAAATTCCAGTTGGAAGGGGGCACTGGTTTATGCCAACGCGGGTGACTAACCCTTGGCCCAAACTGCCCCGGGCTGTGGGGGGGTCTCTGTCTCCTGGTAGCTGCCCAGCCCAGCTGTCTTGCGGGAAGAAGCATTGACCAAACACACGTCGCTGGGCTCTGTGCGTGGCACCGAGGGGACGTTCTTTGTGCTAGCTAGGGTCAGGCTGGAGGAGCCGCTGGGAATCGCCCAAGGGCCCAGGGTTTGTTGTGCTGGCCGCTGTACAGACCCGCAGTAAGAACCCAGGCCTGATTTCCATGGACGTCAATGGCAGGAGCAGGGCCGGCCTTAGGGGTGGGCCACCCGGGCGACCGCCCTGGGGTGCCATGGTCAAGGGGGCGCCGTGTGGCAGTGAGAGGTGCCCGCTGCCCGGGGGAGTCGGAAGCTGCTGCTGGGGTGGGGGTGGGGAGCGGTTACATACAGATACTGCTCCCCCCTCGCCCGATGCTCCTCTGCACCCCCCCAAGGGGCCGTGGGGGGAGGGGGGAGCAATGCCGAGTGCTCCGTGCACCCAGGTAGCTTCCCCACCGGGGCTGCTACTCGCCTGGCTTCCCTTTACTCAGCCCAGCTGGGGAAAGTGACCTGGACGCAGGGAGCCCTGATGTCGCTCCTCCTACCCCCCCTCACCCCCGCTGGGGTGCACAGAGGAGCAGCCATCAGGCTGGGGGAGTGAGCAGCAAAGCTAGCGGCTCTCTGCATCCAGCTCAGTTTCCTCAGGGGGGTGCAGGGCTGGGGGCGCAGGATGGGGGTGCAGTGGGTAGGGGTGCAGGTGGATCAGGGCAGGGCTGGGGGTGCAGGATGGGGGTGCAGTGGGTAGGGGTGCAGGTGGATCAGGGCAGGGCAGGGCTGGGGGCGCAGGATGGGGGTGCAGTGGGTAGGGGTGCAGGTGGATCAGGGCAGGGCTGGGGGTGCAGGATGGGGGTGCAGTGGGTAGGGGTGCAGGTGGATCAGGACAGGAGCTGGGGGTGCAGGATGGGGGTGCAGTGGGTAGGGGTGTAGGTGGATCAGGGCAGGGCTGGGGGCGCAGGATGGGGGTGCAGTGGGTAGGGGTGCAGGTGGATCAGGGCAGGGCTGGGGGCGCAGGATGGGGGTGCAGTGGGTAGGGGTGCAGGTGGATCAGGGCAGGGCTGGGGGCGCAGGATGGGGGTGCAGTGGGTAGGGGTGCAGGTGGATCAGGGCAGGAGTTGGAGGCGCAGGATGGGGGTGCAGTGGGTAGGGGTGCAGGTGGATCAGGGCAGGGCTGGGGGCGCAGGATGGGGGTGCAGTGGGTAGGGGTGCAGGTGGATCAGGGCAGGGCTGGGGGCGCAGGATGGGGGTGCAGTGGGTAGGGGTGCAGGTGGATCAGGGCAGGGGCTGGGGGTGCAGGGGCTGTGGGTGCAGGTGGATCAGTGCGGGGATTAGGGGTGGCTGGGACACCAGAATACAAGTTTGCCCAGGGCACCCATTTGCCCTAAGGCCGGCCCTGGCTGGGCGTCACAGTAGAATCCCTGGCGATATAAACCCAGGCCCGAGACGAAACAGTCCGAGTGCAAACCCTGTCCCCTTGCGGGAGCTCCTTGTGATGTCATCGTATCGCTGGTGATGTCACATGTCACCAGTTCGCCAGTCACCATCGCGTCCCCCAGGGCAGACAAGATTCGAGCATCTCCCGGCACAACGTCCCCCCTCCCCTGGCGAGGGGGGGGTTTCCCATGGGCTGGCAGAAGAGGAGGTTTCCCATGCTGCTCTACGCCTCCCATTGCACCCCGGTCCTGGGGATAGCGCTGGGGAGGGGAGGACATGCTGGTTACCTGCTGCTGCGATGGGCCTGAACCGGGAAAACCAGATTAGAGGGGATCCAAACTCTTCCCCGCGCTGACCCCCCCCATGGTTTCCTTCCAAACCAGCCTGCTTCGCTTCCCCGGGGACCCCTATCCCAGAACCCTCCATGCCACGCCCCCCGGGACACTGCAGTCCCCAGTTTGTCCGGTCCCAGTGCCAAAGGCTGGCACGTCGGACAGGCCCAAGCCAGGGCGAAGTCTGGCGCTGGACTTTGGGAGGGGAACGTTTGGCCCCTGGACGACCGCTCTCACTCTGCGGCTCTCCTGGGGCCGTTCCTGGCTTGCACAGTCCCCGGGGCTGCATGCTCAGGAAGCCCAGGGCGTCCGCCTGCCCCTCGCTGCACTGGCAGGAGTGCCTGCCCTGCTCCGAGCCGGGCTAATCCTGCAGGGAGGTCCTACAGCCCTCAGGAGCGGTGGCGAGGTCAGCGTCTAGTGGGGCAAATCCCAACAGCCGGGCTCTGCAGGAAACCAGCAGACTCCCCACAGTGACGTTGCTCCAGGTTGGCCTCGGGAGACCTGGGAGCTGAATCTGGCCCATTGCCATTGAGGGGTGATTCCGTGGGCATTTGCCCGGGACCAGTGCCAGCCAGCCAATCACGGGAGCTGCCAAAAGGGCTAGAAAATGCCACCCTGTCCCTGCAGCAAACGAGACGCGGCCGCAGCTGGGATCTGCGCCGGCAGCCGAGGAGCAGGGTCAGAGCCCAACCTGGCTGCTCCATCCTGCTGCCCAACGGCCTGTCACTGGGATGCTAGATCTCCCCTGGGACCACCCCAGTGTAGATTTGGGGTGTGGGGTGGCATGGGGTGAGGGGTTGTGTGTGGGGTGGGGATGTAGGGCTGTGTGTGGGATGAAGGTGGATATGGGGTGGGGTGGCCAGGCCATATTTGAGTGAATGGTATTGCAGCCTGGTGTGCTGGGTCATTATGCCACAGAGGTTTGGCCTGGCCCCCCCTCCATCATGAGGGGGTGCAGGGGCTCATGGGCCAGGGGGTCTGGCTGCTGGTGGAGGAGGGGAGCCTGAGAAGGGAAGAGGAGGGTCAGATGGGGGAGCAAATCTCTGCCCCCCTTTAAATGGCGCTCTGCAGTCCCTCATTAGAGTCACTTTAAGCATGTAACAGAAGACTGGGGTGTCGCTCTCCTTCTGCACCCCATGCCTCCATCCCCCACAGCAGAGCACCCCCCCAGCATCTCCAGCTCCTCCTCCCATCCCATTAGCACTCAAGAGGTTGCTCCTTGCTTAGAGTTTTTTAAGTATATTTGGAACAAAAAGAGGCCAGACGGAAATGGCAGAATTATTAATAATAATGCAGAAAAGGCAGAAATATTCAAGAAATATTTCTGTTCTGTACTGGGGAAAGAACAGATGACATCATTGTATTATATAAGACTCTTCCCATTCCACTCTTAGCTCTGGAGGATGTTAAAGAGCAGCTACTAAAGCTAGACATTTTAAAATCTGGTCCAGATAACATGCATCCAAGAGTTTTAAAAGAGCTGGCTGAAAGCTTGCTGGGCCATGAGTGGTGATTTTCAATAAGTCTTGGAACACGGGGGTAGTTCCAGAAGACTGGAAGACAGCTAATGTTGTTCTAGCATTTAAAAAGTGTAACAGGGATGACCCAGGTAATTATAGGCCTGTCACTCTGACACCAATCCTAGGCAACACAGGCTGATACAGGTCTCAATAAGAATTAAGGGAGGGTAATATAATGAATGCCAATTCACATGGTCTATGGAACATAGATCCTGTCAAAGTCACTTGATAACTTTTTTTGATGAGATTCCGAGTTTGGTTGATAAAGGAAATCGTGGTGATGTAATATACTTAGACTTCTGTGAGGCGTTCGACTGCGTCCCCCATTACATTTTGATTAAGAAATTAGAATGATATAAAATGACCATGGAAGTGAAAACTGCATGGAGTGAAAACTGGCTAAGTGACAGGTCTCAAAATATCATTGTAAGCAGGGAATTGACATTGGATGGGTGTTGCCAGTGGGAGCCCGCAGGGATCGGTTCTTGGCCCTGTGCTATTAAACGTTTTTCTCAATGGCCTGGAAGAAACCATAAACTCATCCCTGATGAAGTTTGCCGACAACACAAAACCTGGGAGAGTGTAAGAAATGAAGAGGACAGGTCACTGCTACAGAGAGACCGGGCTGGGTTGGTGAGCTGAGCACAGGCAAACGGTAAGCATAAATGTGTGTGTCTAGGAACCATGCCTATGCCTGGGGGCTCTGCCCTGGAACACAGGGACTCTGAAAAAGACTTGGGGGCATGTTGGAGAATGAGCTGAACTTGAGCTCCCAGTGTGATGCTGTGGCTAAAAGAGCTAATGGGCTCCTGGGATGGGTAAACGGGAATCTCGGGTAGGAGCAGAGCGGTTATTTCACCTCTGTTTGGCACTGGGTGCGACCGCTGCTGGAATCCCATGCCCGCTTCTGGTGCCCACTGTTCAAGGAGGGGTGTTGATACATTGGAGAGGGGGGCAGAGAAGAGCGACAAGACTGACTAAAGGGTTAGAAAACCTGCCGTAGAGCGACAGACTCCAGGAGCTCCATCTCTCTAGCTTAGCACAGAGAAGGTGAAGGGGCGATGTGATCCCACTCTGTCAGGACCTACAGGGGGAGCAAAGACTGAATGACGGGCTCGGCAATCTAGCCGAGGAAGGTCTGACACCATCCAGTGGTGGGAATTTGAAGCTAGACAAACAGACTGGAAACGAGGTGGACATTTGTACAAGTGACAGTAATTAACCATGGGAACAACTTACCCAGAGCCGTGGTGGATTCTCCATCCCTGGCCATTCTAAATGCAGATTGGCTGGCTTTCTAACAGCTCTGTGCTAGGGCCTATTGGGGGGCAGGTGTCTGGCCTGTGTTACATGGGGTGGGGCGGCGGGTCAGACAAGATGATCACAATGGTCCCTTCTGCCCTTGGACTCATAAGAGCGGCCAGACTGGGTCAGACCAAAGGTCCATCTAGCCCAGTGTCCTGTCTTCCGACAGTGGCCAATGCCAGGTGCCCCAGAGGGAATGAACAGAACAGGGACTCATCAAGTGATCCCTCTCCTGTCGCCCGTTGCCAGCTTCTGGCAAACAGGCTTGGGACACCATCCCTGCCCAGCCTGGCTAATAGCCATTGATGGACCTGTCCTCCATGAATGTATCTAGTTCTTTTTTGAACCCTGTTGTAGTCTTGGCCTTCACAACATCTACTGGCAGGGGGTTCCACAGGTTGACTGTGCATTGTGTGAAGAAATACTTCCTTTTGTTTGCTTTAAACCTGCTGCCTATTAATTTCATTGGGTGACCCCTAGTTCTTGTGTTATGAGGAGGAGTAAATAACACTTCCTGATTTACTTTCACCACACCAGTCATGATTTTATAGAATTCCATCATATCCCCCCTTAGTCGTCTCTTTTCAAGCTGAAAAGTCCCCATCTTATTAATCTCTCCTCATACAGAAGCCGTTCCATCCCCCTAATCATTTTTGTTGCCCTTTGCTGAACCTTTTCCAATTCCAGTAGATCTTTTCTGAGATGGGGCAACCACATCTGCACGCAGT